TCAAGTGGATTTGATGTCTGGAGAGAAAAGATACAGCATTTTCCTAGCCCACCCTATTTAAACTGGAAGTTATCTTCCAATCTCTATATACCTAGTATTTGGGAATGCTATATAATAATACTTCATTATCACACACTTTGATTTTCTAAAAATTGTTCCCTTATATTCAACCCAAATTCAACTTAATGAACTCTATTCACTTGGCCCCAAATCTTTCCTTTAGATCTGTAATAAATACTGATATCTAACTTAAAGATAACCTCATGTTCTTCCAATTATTTCTCTTCTCCAGGCCAAACAAAGTCAATTGCTTAAAAAAAATTCCTGACCAGGCACATATCTTCTTCACCATTTTAGTTGCTGACTACCTCTTGACCTGGTTTTTATATGCAAATCTGTTCCATGTGCCTTTTAACGTGGACCTGTAAAGCTGAATAGGTGTAGACAATGTGACCATTACAGAGTCCATCAGGACTATTTTCTCCCTTTGTTTTGGACAGTTTACTTCCAAAAGCAAAATCCAACATCCCCACACCATTCTGTAGACACACACTGAGCTGTAGGTACAACCCTCCCCTACTTTGTTCTATTCGCCCATTTATCTCCTCCCCTGTTCTGTGTTTGTGCATTAGTTGGGGAAATCTAAAATCAGGACTTTTATTTACTGCCCTGTTAGATATTATGTTCAGGCAACGACTATAGACAAGGTCAGGAACAAGCATGGTATACTACTAACTAGTTCCCCTCCCGCATCCCTGACCCCCCAGTACTTATGAACATTTAGGAAGAAGAGAACTCCATTTCAGGAACATTACTCATATACTCTCACTGCCTCTGTAGAAACACTGAATAGAGCCATCAACTTGGAAAATCTATTGTCTTTGAGTCTCTGTCTCCTTTAAACATTCTTCTTGGTTGACCGAGTGTCATTTATCTATGGAGCACCCCTCCCCTCACTACTGAGAAGTCAAAACCTACATTCAACTTATTGCACAAACTCAATTGTGCTCTCAACAAAAATAATTAGGCTTACTTCTCTGTTTGAACACAATGCTGCATCCCTCTGAAGATATCAGCGTGCTGAAGAGAAATCTTTACAAAAGAGATTTTTATGCAGCCTTGAATGGACGTCCACATGTCTTGTCAGTTTCCACTGCAGCTCCAGCTTTGAGCACAGCCAAGTCAGGTGGCAAGAATACTAACTAGAGCCTGGCCAGGTGGCCCAGTTGGTTGAAAGCATGGTCTCCTACACCAAAAGCTTGTGGTTCAATTCCCCATCTGGGCCCGTATCTAGGTTGTGGGTTGGATCCCTGGTCAGAGTACATAAGGGAGGCAGCTGATAGATGTTTCTTTCTTGCACCAATGTCTCTCTCTCTCTCTCTCTCTCTCTCTCTCTCTCTCTCTCTCTCTCTGCCTTCTGCTCTCCTCAGATGAGGATTAAAAAAGAAAAAAAAAAAAAAGAATACTAACCAGAGTATTAACCCCTTTGACAGCAGCACTCACAGACCTATCTTCATGTGCAATAAGAGCAATGCCCCTTCCCGGCTGCCTTCCACAAAGTCCTGAATTCAAACCTGTAGAGTGTGTTATGTTCCTTTAAGTTTTAACAAAGAAGGAAAGGGAGTAAAATGATGGCAAAGGGAGACATTGAAGATCATCTCCCAATAAAAAGGCAGAGCAGCTCGTCCCAGAGTATTTCCCTGAGCATATTTTTACACTGCCGCTCCACATTGAAACTTCGTCTTTTAAGGCAAAAAATCCTCAAAAGGTCAAGTTCAAGTTGGGTACTCAAAGACAAAACGAAATGATTATCCGATGAATTCAATTAGCTATCCAACCTAATTAAGACTCCCTGAACTTTTTTTTTTCCAGGTAGTTTTTCTGAAGGTCATTCTCTGCCTAATTTCCCAAACTTTCCATTTCCTTTTAGCTGAGAAATGTGTTATTTTGAAAAGAACCTTATGGATGTAATATCAAAGATTTTCCTTACACTGCTTTGAGGGAGGGGAGAGCTTTTACTGCTGCCTTTTAATTTTCCCCCACTGTAAGGGTTGTGCTTAAATAGCCTATTAAACTATTTATTGTATGTGGGAAGGGCACTGGATGAATGATTGTTTCCACATTGCTGCGAGCTGATCATAAATCTAAAAGTTAACAAGAAAAACCAAATCAGCTATAAACAACCGAGTCATGTTAAAAGAGTCACAATGATATTTCAACTTGCTAGTTATGGGTGGGTTGGTCTGATCCTACACTTTGGGAAACAGGGAAGTTAATACTGTGAAACGGTAATGAGGGCTGCTGATTTCATCGCTTACTAAACATTTTAGGATAAACTTTCATTTTGGCTGTCCAACCTGAAACATAATATGAGATTATTTGGACACTTCGTTTTCCTCCTTTGGAACAATGGAAAAAATTTAAATGCTTGGGCATAAAAAGCGTTCTTATTATTAAAAAGATGAAAAAAGGTGGGGGGGGGGAGAACCTAGTAAATGCCTTAAATAAAAATGATTGCTGCACAGACATAAGCCTTATTAACTGCTCCTTGGCATCATGGTTATTTATGTAAAAGTCTTTATTGACGACATAAACCCACCATTTCATTATTATTTGCTGCCAATACAATGAACATTACAAGCAAGAAAACAAGGAGTTCGTTTCAGATTTATAACTAAATGAGACACCAAAGGTTATTTGAAAACACTCATGGCATCTCTGAACGGCTTTAAAATGCAACTTTAGAAATAAAAACAAACCCAGCGCAGGATTCTCTATCCTCAATCTCAGCTGCTTTATTAAGTAACAAAAAGATAAACAAGAGGCTGATGAGCCTCCAGAGATCGACACAATCTACAACCGTTCCACCAAAAGCATAAAGTGAGGAGCGCTGAGAAGCCGATGGAAGAAAATGAGACTCGCTTGAAGTAAATGTTCAAGCCACTGAGAAGATGAAGTGACCTAGGACCCGTCTTTAGAACCGTTTTTTGCGTGCGCTGTTCCTTAAACAGGCCTGGGCACGAGAGCACTTTCATGATTTAAAGACTCTTATTCATAAAAATGCTCCTCGAGGATGAAAGCAAACATCCACGGACACATACACGAATGTCCACCTGTGGCACAGGATTTTTCTGTCCATTTCCACTCTCTGAAACCCCATGGCCAGAGGCTTTCTCCAGCAGAAGGCCAGTGTCACACCAAGGGGAAGTAATTGAAACTAGGTAGGGGGCCTTTTTTTAATCTCTTGCCCGGGGATACAACACCAAAGATTTAATTCCACGGAGATGCCACTGCGCTAGGGTATCGGCTCTTTGGGTTTTTAGTCTCTGCTCCCGTGGTCTTTTCCTGATACTCAGATATATGGTGATAAATGTCTCCTTAATTTGCACAACAGCTTTCAGTTGGCTTCACGGGAGACCACCTTGAAGGAGCGAGTAAAAGGTTTAGTCATGGTTTCTATTTTCCTATTGGAATCAATACACTCTAGCTAAATGGACAATTAATAGGTCACTTCCAAAATAGTAGTGTATCAGTCCTGGTTCATAAACAATCCCCACAGAGGATAATGGGCCCTATGTATTCAGCGAGCCCTGCCTGCACTCAGCTCATCCACTAAATCGCCTTTCAGGTAGGTGGACAGGGGGATATGGGAAGATGAGCTAGAATGAGTCTATAAAAGTCAGTTCCATTCACTGCTTTATTTTTCCAGTCAAGCGCCTTAAATGGTGTCCAGAAATTCACTTGGAATGCGAGACAGGAGAAAAGACTGGCCCACAGAGCCTGGCTTTGTGACCATACAAAAGGGCAACTGACCCTTGCCCGAGCCTTTTCCATGTGAAATGGCTCCTAAAGTTCATCCGCACAGTGAAAAATCGTGGTGAGGTCGCGTGTGGATGAGTCAAGTGAAAGTGACGATTGGTCACGGGTCTGTCGCCCATTGTGGCTGGGTCCCCGCCGTGTGAAGTGCTCTGTGGGAAAGTGTCGGCCCCCTAAAGGGCTGCTCAGAAGCTTGCAGCTCATTAAACGGCCAGCATTTGCTGCCTCGCTTGTCAGCAATCATTCTGTGGAGCAAGGGCTCTGCTGAAACATTCATAAAAACACACGCAGAGAGGTGGTGGGGATCTGAATTCAACCACGATGAAGCTCTGACATGAGCCTGACTCAACTCTTATTTCACTTTTCACCCCACAGAGCAGTTAACCTACATAAAGGTTTATCTTGGGCAGCTGACATACATGCACTCCTCCACGGGACTTCTCTGTCATAAACTCGAATTCTCTACCTCCAGATTCCCACCTACTTTAGCTAGCCATCTAAGACCAAGGTGAACTTGATGGACTTTCAGCGAGTTGTTTTTCCTTTGTGTGTGTGTGTGTGTGTGTGTGTGTGTGTGTGTGTGCGCACACACACACACTCTGTAAGTTTTTTAAAGCTGGCATTCTCATCCCACCCCTGAAATTGATTGAAATCCTGTGATGTTTGAAGACAAGTTCTCTTGCAAGTATGTCCCAGGAGGCTGGTTGGTTTTCTTCAAGATTACGAAGAGGAGGAATTTATTTCTTTTTTACAATCTTAACGATTTCAAATTATTTTCTATGGACACCCAGTGACTTTCTGTGCCACATTTTAAGCTGAATGGGAATTTTGCACAGCACAGTTTCTTAGCCTTCCTTTTTTTTCCTCTTTAAATGGGTATTGCTACACATTTCAGAATGAGCCAAACTGGTTCCTCTGAGATCTTTTATATCAAATGGAAAACAAGTCCCTCTCCTCGGAGTGTCAGCCCTGGGTTTCAATGCCGTTAGAAACTGCTCACAATTGCTCAGTGTGCTGAGGTTTGATAAATCTCCGGGAGCCTCCTGAATGGGATCGCTGTGATTTTTAGTGAGGAATTAGCTCCTTGCCATTGCATTACCAATTGGTTTTCCAGAGCACATTAAATCCTGCTGCTTTGGTTTACAGAATAACTGAGGCATTGCTGATGAGGCATAAAAACTTACTTGGAAAAACAGTGGGGGATGCGGGGCGCCGACAGGACCCACCGCAGCACGCTGAGTAGAATGGCGGGGCAGTCAGGAAAAAAGGCTTGGAAGGCGCTGCAGAGAAAGCAGGGATATCACTCATTAGCCATTTCTGTTAGACAAAATTCAAAATTCCCGTTTCCCAAAAGTCACTGAGTAAAAGCCCTTCATTCCCCGAGCTTTTACTTAGTTATTCCTCTTACTGAATTTAAAGTAGCCCTTATCTGTCAAAGACCCTGCCAACTAATTTAGTCAAGATTTGGAAGATGTGATGAAAAGACTGGAGTGGTCAAAACCAAACGTAACAGTTTATTTCTGTATAGTCATGATTGTAAGCAGTATATATCAGGCAGCAAATATCCCCTTACTTAAAAGATTCTAGAGCAACACCATCCAAGAGAACTCTCTGTGGTGACGGAAATGTCCTATAGCATCACTGTCCAATATGCACTTGTCACAGAGGGCGACTGAGCACTGGAAATGCAGCGAGTATGCCTGGGAAGTCTTCACTAAACTATATTAGGGTTAAGTAGGCTCATTTGGCTAGGGGCTATCATATTGAACAGCATAGCTCTACTAGTAGATATAATACTTGCCAAGAAACAATCTGAATGTTGAGTTTAATTTTTAAAAGAGATTATACTACCGTAACTTAATTTCAGAAGGTTCTATGAAATATGTAGTCGGATTCAAAGTTTATAATAGTTAATTTATAAATAATAAATTATGGAATCTGAGCAATTCCACAACAACAAGAAAGTGGTTTTTTTTTTCCTGATTGCTTTTTCATGTTTAAAAGTGTTTGAGAAGAGTAATAACGTTTAATCACAAGAGAAATCTAGTTAACTTGAAAGCATTCATGTTTATAGTATAGGGAGTTGCCATATAATTCTGTTCTGCTCATTTTATTAAACTATGTTGTTCCTAATATATTCAATACATATACATGGGTAAGTTGTCATTATACTTATAAATAAAGAAATTTTAAATTCTGTTTCTCAGTAGATGAAAAATACCTATAAAGGATATCATAAAAGATTAATAGCTATTTTTTGCTGAGCACTTATTATATGCCAGCTTTTGGTTAAGTACCTTAAATATGAAATAGGCTTAAGTATAAATGTAAATATGTATGAGATTTCCTAAAGGTGGACAATTTTCTTTTACTAGGGCACACCCAGCAGAATGCCTGGCATATTCTAAATAGTCAATACATTTTCATCAAGTGAATAAATGATTTGCAAATCTAAGAAATAGGAAACTTCCTATCATCTTACATAAAGAATGGGGATCAGATACACCCTTATGTTCACAGCAGCACAATTTACAAATAGCTAAGATTTGGAAATAGCCTAAGTACCCATCAGCAAATGAGTGGATTAAAAAACTGTGGTACAAAACAATAAACTGTGGTACATCTACACAATGGAATACTACAATGATGCAAAAAAGAAGGAACTTTTACCGTTTGCAATAGCATAGATGGACCTGAAGAGCATTGTGCTAAGCGAAATAAGCCAGTTGGAGAAATATAAATATACGATCTCACTCATTTGTGGAATAACAGACTGGTGAACAAAAATGGATCCAGAGGCAGAGAAGCATCAAATGGACTGTCCAACCTCAGAGAGGAGGCAGGGGAGGGCAGAGAAGGGGATGTAAAAGGTCAACCAAAGGACTTGTATGCATTCACATTACAAAACCAATGGACATGGACAATGGGATGTTGGGGCCTTAAAAAAAAAAAAAAAAAAAGAATGAGTATCAGGAATTAACTGCATCCCTGTTCCCCTAACACCCCCTGAAATACAATATTTTCTATAACAGATGACCTTGAAATTTAACACATGACTTCAAAATAATTATTTTACTTTCCCTTCATACCCAATGGCACCTAACCACATCCACTCACAGCTAGTGGTGAACCTGAGGAGGGGTGGTGAAGGATTAAGAAGACATACAAAAGAATGCAGTTGGGGCCCAGTAGGACACTGTTCTCAGGTGGAGAGACAGTGCCCCAGCCTGTCATTTTATAGTCAGATCCCACGAGGCAAAGAAAAGGCACGGTCAAGATGTTTACAATGTTCTCATGAGTTTTGAATATATTTATTTACATGCACCTGAGAACTCTATCAAGCTTTGTTTTGGCAGCACTTGCTGCACCTCCTGCAGCAACATCACTCAGCCACCTGGGACCACAGGTTCGGACCATAAGGTCAAGCTTATAACCATACCCTTTGGCTATAATTGTGCTGGGAGGATTTTGCCCTCCAAGCTGGGACCTGCATGTGGCTTTGCCATGAGAGGATCTTGCCCTCTCATTAGTCCAAGGCTTGAACCAAACACTGTCCAAACACTGTAGCCACTCTCCACAGGCACCTCTTTTCTCAATTATAGTAAAAATTATTTTGATACAAATATATATCTTCCTTTAAGAACACAGAAATTTCAGACTTGTATTTTAATTAATTGATGTGTATATGTTTATTTTAGCCAATGCCTTTGAAGACATAATATGCTAAATGTCCAACCATCTGATCAGTTGCTATGATGCACACTGACCACCGGGGGCAGCTACTCAATGCAGGAGCTGCCATGATGCACACTGGCCATTTTATAAATAAACAGCCTCATAAACCTGGCACAAACAAAGCAACATTTGGCTTCCCCTAAGTGGGACACAGACCCTGCCATCACCCTGGAGCAACAGCCCACCAAATCGCAAACAACACTGCCAAGACCCCAAGGTGCAAAATGTGGCCCACAACCCAGCCCAGCCCAGAAACCATTACTGTGGGCTCTGGGTAATGATGTCACATAGCAACCCCAGCTTCCTCTCCCTAGTAACTAGCCTCCTTGGAGTTTCTTAAGCCCACGAACCCTACTTGCTTTATAGCCAGGTGCTAACATTTTACACTTTAACCTAATGTCTGTGAAGCATTTCCCATGCCTTATCTTATTTGATCCTCACAAAAGTCTTGGAGTAGGTAGATAGGAGACTTGGTGTAATCCTATTTTATTTTTATTAGCTGGAAAATGGAGATTTAGAAAGCTTAGAAACTTGATCTGACTGAAAAGAAGTAAGAAATGCTGGACCTTGAAAATGAATTAAGATTTTCCCACTGTGCAGAATAAAGTCAAACACCGCTGTAGTTAAATATTTTACCCTTTGTTCTCCCTATGTGATATACAATAATAATCTGCTTTGTGTTGATATTTACTGCTGTGTTACTGACAATTACCTGAGAGAGATGTTGGGGTGCTTCACTGGGCTGGAAAAAAGTTGAGCTACATCAGAAAGCAGGTCTAATTAAGCAAATTTATTCTATATTTATAAAAGGCTAAGTTGACTCTCACATGCACAATACATATAAAGATCTTGTTGGTGCCAAACTCTTTGATCTATCATTGTCGATTGTGAATTTGGTTGACATTTCTATTATAGAGAAAAGGCAAATAATGGTATTAAAATATTTCTTCTAATTAATTTCCTTTCAATGTGCATGAATCTGTGTACTGGGCCACTAGTATCAGAATAAGTCTCTTTCCCAGTAAGAATTTTAGTCTCAGAATTTAAATCTTGCAACTTAATTACAAATTCAGATTTTTTTGAATAATATAATGGAAATCAGTCAATATTAATATTTTTATTTTTCAAAATCTGGATTTTCAAATAAGAAAATGTCTTAATGTTGTTTTGAAAATATGACAACTATGCAAAGTATAACAAATACCTAAAAAAAAAAAATACCTATTTTGGGTGTGCAAAAAATTCAATAAAACTTAAAAAAAAAAAAAAAAAGTATAATCCTCACTTAAGGACATGCTTACTAAGCCACAGCAGGAAGGATCTTTAAATTTCATTATTATCGAAAGTTGTTCAGCGCTGGCCAGTGTACTCAGTGGTTGGAGAATCTGCAGGGTCTCGGGTTCAATTCCCAGTTAAGGACACATACCTGGATTGCTGGTTCATCCCCCATCCCCAGTCAGGGCACGTGCAAGAGGTAACCAGTCGATGTGTCTCTCTAAATAATAATAATTTTTTTCTCTTTCTCCCCACTTTCCCCTCTCTCCCTCCAACTACCTCTGAAAAGGAATGGAAAAAATATCTTCATATGAGGATTAACAAAACAAAAAAACACAACAAAACAAAAACGTTCTAATATTGATAACACCATCGTAGTAATGATAAATCATTTCATTTAAATTTAACATCTTAAATTATATTACAAGAGCATGACATTATTTAGGCAGAGTTTGAAGTACTTAGAAAAGTGGAAATATATTCTGTGCATAAAAACTTGCCTCCTTGTGTTTATTTTCAAGCATTTCATTTAGCTAAGTTATTTCAGTTAGCTAAGTTATTCCATCTCCAAAGTAAACATTCTATAGATAATTAAGTTGCCACTATTGTGTTATTTGCCACTTAAAAAACTGAGATAAAAGGAAAAGATTCAGCAATGTTGCACTTACATGTATATACACAATTAACATTTATCACGACAGCTAGAAATACATAAAGATATTTTCGCTGGATATAAAGTAAGTACTATTGATACCCCTGAAATAATGATGCAGGATATGTACAAATTACAAATTATATTACTCTAGCCAACCTTTCTCAGGCTAACCCTAGAGCCCTAAAACTGGAAAAATAAAGGGTAAAAAAAATGAATGGTAAATTTCAGACAAATGATCAATTAAATTCATTTGTGATCAATGAAATTCTGAGATCTATTTCTTAGTGCTAAATTTGGCCAGAAAAAGAGTTGTAATGGAGCAGTTTGTTACATTGCAATATATTACCCTCTTGGTAAGGTAAAGCTGTCATCGACATGACATGCTCTCTACAGTGACAATGCTAGTGACTTAGGAACCACCTGTTACATAACCAGGCTTAAAGTCCTATTGTGAAGAATTTCTTCACCATTTTAAATAACCTCTTTAACAGAAATATTTACACAGGAGATTAGTCAATTCCTGGTTTCGATGCATTAATACACCTTGTTTAAGCTGGTTTACTCGGAAATCACTGTGAAATTCCAATTAAGTGCTCCATTTTTTGTACATGCTCT